AGAGAAGAGAAGAGAAGAGAAGAGAAGAGAAGAGAAGAGAAGAGAAGAGAAGAGAAGAGAAGAGAAGAGAAGAGAAGAGAAGAGAGGCATCAATCTTATGGACACTTATTTTGGTGTCAACCCCATTTGAACCAAGGTCTCCCCAGTATTGGTCCTTCACTAAGATTGTTATATGTTGGCTTATTGCTGAAGAAGCAAGCATAAAACAGCACATCTTGGCTGAATTCCACCACACGCACGCCTAGATTAATTAAAAACCCGATGGCTTTGTACACATGATATACTATACTTGGCTCAGGTTTAGTAGCTTAGCCTGTTGTGTAAACCCAGCCCACTAGGTAATTTAGGATTCAGTGTATTGTAAAAACCCAGAAAATGGGTCACTCCAATAAGCCAGTTAAGTGTGTCATGTGAACCCAACTATTATGTACAACAGCAGCAACAAGAAGCTAGGATGAAATGTAGAGTTTATTGGCATGCATTTCTTAGATATTTTTCCCTTCTAAAAGAGAGAGAGGAAAAACAATATGGCTGTCTAAGATATAGAGAAACTAGGAACAAAGGATCTCATCATTTAATGAACCCTATAAGCCACAGCTAAATATTTCCAACTTTGATTCAACCAGATAATATCAAAAAGTTGACGTTTACATGCCAGGACAAGGATGGTGAGATATAATTTTCTTTGTTAACTCTTTGCACAAAACTTAAGTAAGACTCGTGTTCCGTCCCCGTACTTGGTGTGTGGACCACTCCCAAGGAACGCGTGATTCTCTCCAACTCATTCTCCCTGGCGCTACTTTTCCCCCATATTTTTTTAGTTTTCCCCCAAACAACTGTTTATGACTTTTTTTCGGTGACTCTGATCTCCCTGTGGCAAATTATGGGTGCTCCAACCGGGTGGTGCAACTCTAATTGTGGAAGTGATGCTGAAAGATGCAGAACCTGATTTGCAACATCTTTCCTCACCTTTTCCTTTGACTTCAGGATTTAAAAGGATGTGCAGGTGGGAAATCCATGGTGGTGGCTTTCCCTGCCCTCTGAAGCTCTTTTGCGCAACATGCCTTCAGAGAGGTGCAGCTGTGAATCCCACACCCTTTGTTTTGAAATCTCCATAGCTCTGGGGCTGCACATGGAGTTACAGTACTAGTTAAACAACTTGATTCTGCAGTGTGAAAGGAGAAGAAACCAAAATGATGGGATTCTCCTGGGAAAATAAATTGGAGCTTAACTGCCTGCACAATTCTTGCTTTTTTAAAGCTATCTGAAACTCAGCATGATCTACTACCACTTCTCTTGCAATTTCAATACTGTAGGCAGCATACAGGTAGTCCTCATTTAGTGATCACAATGGGACTGGCAACTCGGTCATTAAGCAAAGCAGTCACTAAGTGAAACTGTACCTGTGCTTATGATCTGACTTCAGCTTTCCTTTGCTTTACAGACCTGTGAAGGTCATAAATGTGAGGATTCATCATAAAGTTACTTTTTCATCACTGTCATAACTGCAACCAGTCACTGTGCAAGGCAGTCACTAAACGAGGACTACCTGTACACACTTGCAGGCAAAACATATGTTACATTGGGCAGTGTTTTAGAAACCTGGCTGAACAAAGACCCAATCAGGACTCAGCTGCTCAGACTACCCAACCAGAACCCAGCACAAACAAAAAACCAATCAGGAGTCACCACTCCAAAAATGTTTGATTGGAGAAAAGACAATATCTACATTTATTGGTGACTGGAAACCCCTTATGGACTTCTTGCATAAAAAAGATAAAGATGAACTTATGATTTATGGTTTTGATGATTAGACAGGATAGATTATAGAAAGAAGAGGGTCATGATGTAACTTAAGAGAGAGAGGCCAATTTATAATTGTCCTTATAACTGCTATAAAGAAAATTGGAAGCCACTTATATATTTTTTTTTCCTTTTTCTATTGTTCTTCTACTTTTTTCTTTCCAACTTTTAGCTTTAGCTTTTCCTTTTTCATCTCCCATTCTCATTCTCATTCTTCTTTTTTGTTCTATGTTAGTTTGTATCAGTTCTTACTGTTGTTGTTAAAACTTTCAAATATAAATATATAGGAATCAGCACTCCAGAAATGACCAATCAGAAGCCAGCATGAACAAAGGACCAGTCAGGAACCAATACCACCAAAATAATTAATCAGGATCAGACACAAAGAACCAATCAGAGACCAACCTGCACCAATCAGAAACCAGCTGAGCTCAAGGTCAATCAGAAGTCAGGACACCTGGCTATAAAGACAGGAGCCCAGTCAGTCCCAGCTCAGTTGCCTGTGGTCTGCATGGCAGGCCATGTTGCCTCTGAAGATGCCAGCCACAGCTGCCTGTGAAATGTCAGGAAATCTGTTCTTGAGACTGCAGTCACTAAACCCTGAAGCCCAACAGATACCGGCCATGAAAGCCTACACCAAAACAGATGATAATCTATATTTTCCAGCAATTGTTATTTTGCTCACTTAGAATTCTATGCAGTGGTATCTGGTACAAAGTAAAAAAGCAAGGAGTCCCTTGAATCAAGTCCAATGCCTGGTAAATACATGGCATTTTCTTGGCAACAGTAGGGAAGTAGATTGCCACTGCCTTCTTCCAGAAGGCTTTTTCAATTTCCCAGTCCAGCCTACAGGACTGGGGTTTCCTGGTGGTCTCCCATCCATGCATGAACTTGGCCTGACTTTGCTTAGTCTGAGATCAGCCAAGGCTAGCTAAATGTTGCCCTCTTCTGTAGGCAATTGGCGACATCACCGCATTTTCAATTACCAGCATGGCTGGCTGGGGAATTCTGGGAGTTGAAGTCCACACATCTTAAAGTTGTCAAGGTTGAGAAACACTGAACTAGACACAAAGTTGTGCAGTAGAATGAAGCATGTAGAGTTACTGGAAGATAAGGATGGGTGAAAATTGCCTGAACATGGTTCAGATCCAAACATATGGTCCAGGTTTTTAGGGAGCATCAACCTGGTCATTGGAGGAAGGAGAATTCCTATAAGCTTTGGTGTTGTGGAGAAGACTTCCAAAGAAGTTAGGAGAGTTAATTACAATAAAAATGAAAAAAAAATCAAAATCAAGGAGACACATAGAAGTTTAACACCTAATAAAATAAGATACTCACTTTCATCAACTGCCAGCAAGAAAGGTTCATGGTATTCTCTAAAGTCAAGGTCCCAAATAATTGCAATGGTTAAGTGTGCCACGTGAAGTCAAGAAATACAACAGCTGGAGTGCCCAAGTTGCTTGGAGCCTTCATTCATGAAGTACCAGGCAAATGCCAGGCAAATTCATGTCGGGCAAATTCATGAAGTACCATAAAAGATACTTAATCATTGTGATAACTAACTTCTAGTTATCTTTTACGGTACTTCATGAATTTCAGGGAATGGGGAGATAAAGGAGGAAAAAAAAAGACATCTTCTCAGTGAACAGTTGCATCATGTTTTACTACAGAGGCCACAGGCAGGGGCCAACTAGGTTTTTCTGTTTTGTGCCCCCCTCTGCCCAAATAATTACCAACGTGTCTCAAGACTTTGGCAATTGTGAACACGCTTTGCAAAATCACTGAGATCTCACAGAAGAACATCAACTTCTTATGAAACTCTGTGACCTCAGAAAATTTTGGAAAACAAAATTATCTCAGTTTCTTTGACCCCAGGCAGATTTTGGAGGAGAGGCAGTTGATCCATCATAGTACACAATTAAGTTCCTTCAACCGTGTTGGACTACAATTCCCAACATCCCCAGATCTGCTGGGAATGGGCAATGGGAGCCCCAGCCTGACACAGGGAGAACCGAAAGCTTCACACAGCAAAACTTTAAAAGAATCCAATCAGCTGGTACTTACATTCATTCTGAAATTAGGGGAATCATCAGAGAGAAGTTGGAAGTTAGATTTGATTCGTTCTGGTGATCACATTTTTTTCTCCTGTCAATTGCTTAGGTTTTTTTTTTTCCTTGAACAAAAATGAAACTTACCCGGTTACATTAAAAGGCATTTTTTAATTTTCACACACCCAGGAGTCTTTTCTTCTGTGCTGACTTTTCTCAATCTGTACTGCCGAATCTCTCGCACCAAGGTATAGAAAGCATCTTCCACTCTCTGTGTTGTAAGACACAACTCCTTTAGAGTCGGTTTCTGTTAAGCAGGTGGGTGAAGCGGGGTCTCGCCCAAGAGTCAGGAGAAAGTGGAAACTGGCAGCTAGGCTTTGGAGAAAAGTAGGGGGGAGGGGTCTCCAGTCCTTCCTGGTGGAAATCTTGGGGTACAATCCTGCATTCATCATGGCTAATGGCAAAATGTATCAATTTTCAAAGAAGCCATCTTCCATACATTGGAATCCTTCAGATATGCTGGGTCCACAACACATCTAGGTTCTACAGATTTTAGCTTAGCATCTCATGTTAAGCTATTGTGTAATTAATGTTTGGAATGAACTCAGCCAGTATGGTTTGTTAAGCAGGGGGTATGGTTCAGTGCAGTGTGGAAACTCAGGCACTGTGGCTGTTTCAAGGATGAAAGCCAGCCTTGGCTTGCAGCCACAAGTGAATCCAGCCAGATTTATTATTTATTTGCCTAGGTCCAGTGTCCAGAGACAGTGACGATTTAAGAGCTAAATCAAGTGGTCTTAAACCCTTTCCCCTTCAGGAGCCATTTCGGCATCAAATCATTAGACAAGGGTTTCTGGTCCATAACCAATTATTCTGGGCAAACATCTACTCAATCTGAGCCCTTCACCTTAACTCTGTATGGCCCCAGAATACACCTTCCTCCTCATAGCTTAACACTTTAGAGAAAGGGGAAACTGCTATCTGTCTTTCATATAAACTCATCTCCCCTCTTCATTTCATCTGAAGAACCTGAGAAAATCTTTGGAAAGGCCCTGAGCTAAGCTCCTGTAGATGTTCCATCACAAAGCTCCAAACATTTTCCATAAATTTTGTCATGGCAGAGACACCTTGATTGATCCCCTTTGATCACCATCACAATGCCACGTGCATTCCAGATCATAACACCCTTTTGAAGCCTCCCGTAAGAAATGGGGTATGTGGTTAATTCCGCTGGCTATGTACCCCTCAATTCAGGGCAGCTGTCTCTTTGCTTCTATCCCAACGCCTGAAGACAGGAGCTGTGATTCTTTCAGCAGTGCAGACAGATCAAGAAAGAGATCCATGGCCTTGACATGGCCACCACCGTGGAGGAAAGCCAAGCAACCATTGGAGAACTGCCCACTGGGGCAAAGTCCTTCACCACTAGGGGAGGAGAAAGAGGAAGATCTGGAGAAAGGCCTTTAAAGAGCCACCCACCACAGGAAGACATTTAAATAAGTGGTTGAAACTTTGCTATCTTTGCAGGAAATGCTCAAGTAACTACACTGTGATAGGTCAGTAGCAATATACTGTATGTTTATATACACACACATCCTTGAAGTCATGTCATCTGATGGGACCTAGGAGGCATGCTTTTTCCATTGCAGCATTGCTCTCTGGACTGGTCTTCTCCCGACACACATAACATATGGTTAGCCCCAACTCTGTTGGCTTTTAGAAAGGCATTAAAAACTTGGTTCTTTTCTCAACATTGGGGCCAGGATGATAGGAATTCCAGGAGACGTGAGATATTGTGGCATATTGTGGGTTCCCGATTGCCTATTAATTGCAGTCGTCGTGATTTTGACTGTAATTATATTTTTTCTTTTTAATGTATGCTGCCCAGAGTCACATTTGTCTGCATTGGGCCACCATATAAATTCTCAAATCTCATAAATAAACAACCAAGGATTTCTGACTGCCAAGAGCTTGCTCACTGCAGAACCCATGGTGGTGATCTGCGATTCTATCCCTCTTCCAATTACACTGCTAAAATGAAAATTTAGAAAGGCCTGGAGCTAGCCACGGAACACAAATCTGTGCAAGAGCTAGTGCTCAGAACATGTTTTGAGGCTGAGAATTCTTCAGACCTCAGGATCTCCCCTGAAGATAGTAATGGCAAAGCACTTCTGCATTGTGGCTGACAAAGGTCTCTGGATGAGGTCCAGCTTAACTTGAGGGAGTCTTTGCTTTACAACTGCATTTGCTTAACTTGGTTACAGGATTAACCCCTTTTCTAGGTTTGCATGATATCCTTATCTGTAAACTAGCTTAATGGTTTAGATTCACACAACATGCTAACCCTACTGTCCCACCCCCAGGAGTGGTACACCTGCAGCCGTCCAATGTTGAACTGGCCTTGTTCAGCGCGTTTGGACGAATGCAACCTGTCATCCCAGTTGACAGACCATCTGGTTCAAAACAACCATATCCAACAAGCACAAGACCTATCAGCTCCACTTTTAAGGAGATCTCAATAACTTCAGAACAATGTCCAGGGAACTCTCATTCCCCATGGAAGCCCACCGCTTCTGCCTTGTTTATACAGCTATTAGCTCCATATCTGCTTCAAACTCTTATACGCTCAGTCAGAATCTTCTCCCAACGTGAGCGAGGCCAGGACAACAGCTAAATCTATCTGAACTGAACCAAAATCAAATTAATAGAGAAATATTACAGTTGATCTACCCACTCCCCAGGAAGTTAATTTCTCCATTTCTTTTAGGTGAAGAATTAGAAGCCAGTAGCAAAGTTTGAAAAAGTCTGAGGCTTTTATCCAAGATTTTATTGAATGGGGAGAGCTGAATTAACTCAACAGGCCTAGTTATGCCCCATTCTCTGGGCCAGAGACTTTTTCCTCAGTTCTCATACCTAGCTATCATCCTGCCCGTGACTTCCACTGCCTTAGTCTCCCTCCCCAAATCCCAAAGCTGTTTCTTGCTTTCCCTGCAAGAGATTTCCTGTACCTACCCCTCTGGAAACTATTTTCCAGAAAGGATCTCACCCCAAAAAAACTCCATAACAAGTTAAGTGTTTCAAAATAAGATTTCCACATTGCGAGAGGCACTGAATGGGCTATAAGAAGGAGATGACCTTATGGATGAGAAAGCCTGCTAAATAACTGGTTGTGAAAATGCTTTTTTCCTATTTTTCTTCCTACATTTTGTCAACTCTCCCTTTCTGTCTATCCATTCTTGCCTTTATCCTTCTAGATAAACACAGGGTAAACTCAATTAGGAACCTCTACACCAAACAGGCACTCGGTCAATTGGATCTCTCGAACCACGTCAGTTTTCCAGTCTTTCCGTCACGACAACCCCTAATTTCATCTCTCTGGGGGCACCTGGACAAACTTCAGCATGCTTTTTCTTTTAAATCACCTTGCTGAGACGTGTCTATATTCATTCCATGTGGACTTAATTCCTTTTCTTCTCCCCATTCACAAAATGTTTAGGATGCTGCATCCTAAAAAGTTGGATCGCAAACTATCAAATCATGGCTGTTGCTGTCCAATAGGAATTTGGGGAAGAGGACACACTTTTTAAAATTCTATGTTCTAGAAGGGCAGACAAGGATTACAATGGTTAAGACAATGATGGTCTGCAAATGAGAGGAGGATAATTCTGAAAATCAAGATACTGTGGTACCTCGGTTTACGAACTTAATTCGTTCCGTGACTCTGGTCGCGACCCAAAGCAAATTTCCACATAAGGTTCAGTGTAATTACCGTTAATCTGTTCTGGCGTGGAGGACAGGGAGGCGGCTATTGCTTGGAGGGAGAGTGCCCCT